TCAACTCTTTTATTGTTGTATATACAAAAAAAAAAAAAATTTCATTCCCAGGAAACCAATGTTCCCCAGGCCAATTTTTCAGCTTTCAGGTTGAAAAGTTCAGCGAATTTTCAGTTCAGTTTTGGTTTAAAGTAAGAGAAATTTCTTAGGACAAGCTGAAAGAGACAAATTCGCCATTTTCTGGGGTTGATTTTGGTCTTAAATATTATGTAAATAGTCTTCATGTAATTTCCACTTGGATATTTTATGCTCTCTTTTATATGCGTTTTGCCAAGAGTTAATGAGGTTGGGTTGGAGGGGAGGGGAGGTGTCCTCTTACCTGCTTGTGGGGTTGTATAGAGACTGAATAACATCACAATTGTAATAACTATACAATGTACAAATCAGGAATATACAAAAATACAAGACATACCAATATACGCATATTCAAAGATTTTAAACTATGACATGCTAATCTTCTATCCATAGTGACTTTGCCAGACAGGAAAGCCAAGGATGATTCATGGACATTAGCCTGCTCATTTTCGATTTCCAACTGTCGAGGTATCTTTAACGTGCGCAGCCTGTAGCACATAGGGACTCGGTTTATTGTCCCATCCGAACAACTAGACGCTTTTTCTATGTCAGCCCCCCCTTACCTAAATCACTGACAGAGAGAAACCGGGTTGAAAATTCGAAGGTATCATCTTGACCTATGCCGGGATTGAACCCCAGCGAGCAAACATCTAACTCACCGAGCTACCACGGCTCCCATGCGTTTGTCAATGATTAAAAACCAAAATAAGTAACGATAATATACCTTATAATGGTGAAAGTCTCTACCAGCAGAACAGGTGAGGTACTTTAGCCTTCAACCTCCACATACAACAATGAGCTCTTTGGTTACATACGGTAGCATTTCATTTTCTTCGTCCATGATTTCAGCTCACACTCAAGTTGGGATTTTGAAACAACAGAGTTCGATTGATCGTTCTTTTCCCTGTAGTAGCTAGCTTAAATAGTAGACAAATCGAACACATCTAATCTTGAAACTTCTTCACTGACGAAAAATCACCTTGAAACAGATGTTGAAACAATAGTTTTAGTTTGTGAGTTCAAACCTCCATTGTACTACACTGAGCACAATTCACCTTAAACAATAGATTCACGACCTTAATCAAGTCTTTTTCACTTTTGAAAATGATGGGGGTGGGGTCATATATTAAAAATGTGTTGGGTTGTAAGGAAGATGGGTTTGTGTCAGGAAAGATGGGTTTGTTGTAAGAAAGATGGATTTGTTGTAAGAAAAAACGGGTTTGTTGTCAGGAAAGATAGGTTTGTTGTCAGTAAAAATGGGTTTGTTGTCAGGAAAAATGGGTTTGTTGTCAGGAAAGATGGATTTGTTGTCAGAAAAATCGGGTTTGTTGTCAGGAAAGATGGGATTGTTGTCAGGAAAGATGGACTTGTTGTAAGAAAAAACGGGTTTGTTGTCAGGAAAGATGGGTTTGTTGTAAGAAAGATGGACTTGTTGTATGAAAAAACGGGTTTGTTGTCAGGAAAGATAAGTTTGTTGTAAGAAAAAACGGGTTTGTTGTCAGGAAAGATGGGTTTGTTGTAAGAAAGATGGGTTTGTTGTAAGAAAGATGGATTTGTTGTAAGAAAGGTGGGTTTGTTGTAAGAAAGATGGGTTGTTGTAAGAAAGATGGATTTGTCGTCAGGAAGATGGGTTGTTGTCCAGGAAGGATGGGTTTGTTGTAAGAAAGATGGGTTTGTTGTCAGAAAAATCGGGTTTGTTGTCAGGAAAGATGGGATTGTTGTCCAGGAAAGATGGACTTGTTGTAAGAAAAAANCGGGTTTGTTGTCCAGGAAAGATGGGTTTGTTGTCC